AAAACTTATATTTTTCCTGATATTCGGGCGTCCCGGTACTTTCCGAACACCCTGTATATATTTGACGTTCATGCGCAAAAATAAAGGAAGTCTCGGAAGTGCTCCTTTCAAGAGCAAGTTTAATTTCAACAACTTCCCGTTGATCACTTTGTGTACACGTTATAGTTATACGGCGTATAATATCAAATTACTTAATTATTCGAACGCAATTAGCACGATGCAAGAAGTCTACTTAAACTTGAGCTTAATCTCACCATCTCACACTCCGCGCCAACATCATCACATTTGTGTTTACACTGTAAACATAAACTGTAAGTAATGGTGAACTAGTTATAGTACAGATTATGTCATACCAGGTAATTATGACGCCAGTAATGACGTATGTAGGTCACCCGAGATAAAATTATGTTTATAATTAAAAGGAAATGGTTTCTCTCTCTACGCGCGTTGAGATATTTGAAATGATTAGTGAATAAATATTCATAATCTAATTTACTTGTCAACATACGAGTCTCTTGAGTCTGCAATAGCGCCGAACGTTACGGATCAACGAAAATCTAATAGAAGAATGAGAGAAAAGTTTTAATACTGAAATGACGAAGTATACTGCAGCTTCTTTCTCACTCACTTATTCATTTTCTCCTTACAAGTGGCATACATTGTCCTAACTCTTGATCTATTCTTTGTAACTCAATTGTCTGCACTAGCTTGCATTAGTTCTCTTTCTCTCTTTCTTACATTATAAATCACAGTTATATACTCTATTACTAGCTATATACACAGCTATATACTAGTATTACTCAATGGCACAAACGTCCTATTATTCTATCATCATAAACAACGAACATAATGAATAAGACAGCTCTTGAAAGAGTTGTCATACAGAACAAACATGCTTTAATGCATATATATTTAACGTAAAGTGCTTTACCGTTTGCTTAAAAATATTTATTTAAAAACGTAAATTTAAAAACGTTAATATTCTATTAAAGATATTTAATTTTTTTTATAAATTAAATGATTTTATTTATAAAGTTGTAAATTTTACAAGTTTATGTATTAGATCTTTCTGTAGCAAATTTTCTACATATTCTTAGTAATGGAATACATTATTTTACAAAATGTGCAAAAAGCTTTTTAATAATATAAAAATAGTCTCAGCATTTTTAACAAATTTAAAACAATTTTAGGATTATTACGTGTTACTAATTATTTCTTTTTAAACTTAGATATGATAAATATTCAGAATTGTGGGAGATATATCAAATTAGATGATAACATTTTAGTTATTAATTATATGGAAATTCTATGCTAAGAATCTGGATGGATGTTGGTTACAGACATATAATTTCTTTATATGTATGATTGATAATAAAGTTACTCACAGTAATGCTAGTTTCGTGTGAAACATCAAAGACATAAAATCCATAAGTCTCGCGTTGATGAACAGGTTGTCAGGAACATGCAAGGTTATGCTGCATTCGGCAGGAGAGGAAAGCACGATATTCAGGAACTTATTGCGACAAACAACACATGCAAGAACCTTAATATTATAATGATTAACACCAATGAATTTTTAAGAGAAAAAGTCTCGAAACAGTACATTCACAACTCTTTTCAAATTTCACGACACTCGCGTACTCCCTTTTCGGATGTACGCGATTGTAACAGACGATTACGAAACGATAAACAAAAAGTTTAGAGATGCCGGTGTAAACCGTGAACCGCGATTCACGCACAAATTCAATCACTCAGGATCACTATAAGTCTTGAAGGCCGTTGTAAACCAAGAAGAAACGGCAGTAGGATGAAGGACTTCCAAAAGACCAACTTGAGTTTTGTGGAATTGATGGATATTCAGGGAATAGGATTGTATGTGTTCCGGAGAGCAGGATATCGCTGAAGGTGCGTTGAGACTGGATCTCCGGAGAGAAATGCTGCTATGAGCGCAGTTGTGGAGACAGGATACTTCAGAAAGCAGGATGCTGCTGGTTTTTTCTTTAAGAGTTCTTCAGGACCAAAAATCCTTTGAAGGAGAGATGTGTAGTTCAGAAGGCTGCTTCTTCTAGAGCAGGTTTTCGAAAGATCTCGAAAAAAGGAAGGAAATTACTCAAAAGAGTAGAGTTGCGTTCTCGTAACTTCTATGTAAATCTCGCGTGTTTTTCTTCTGCGTCTTTTTCTCCTGCGAGAAAAATAACTCGTCATTCTACGTCGCCTAGCGACATCCGTGGAAATTAATGCATCGAGTGCAGTATGGCGGCAAATTTATTGTCCGCATATGATCGTCATACTGTTACGCAGTGACAATTTAATTGTTCAATAATGTATATTCTTTGCAATACTCCCAATTAAAATCAGAATTGATTTTAAAATGAATCAATAAGTACTTAATAATTAACATTATTCTTAGTGATATATTGTGAGACTTTTTTCAGAAATATAATTAATATCGATATATATTACGTATTGTCATCGCGCACGCGCGCGCGAATAAATGCAAGATATAAATAATGGTAATAAGACTAGACTTGGTGTATAAATATATAGATGCCACTGAAATAATATTCTCACATTCTAATGAGAAGTTGTTAGAAGTATTGTTATGAACAAAAGTAAATTGGATACTTTAAATGCCGGACACAACATCCAGTAAATATTACGTATCAATAACATCACATCAATAATATAATTTCTCATTCAATATGTAACTGTTATGTACAACATGTGTTATATTATATTTATATTACTAAATGGCACATTATAACATTGATGTAATATTACTGATAAAATTAATATTTATTTGGCAAAGAGGTCACAGAATATTAACAGTGGACAGTCTCTTAAAGTAAATCATCAATTACCATACAAACGATTATATAATATCCATTTTAACAACTGGCAAAATCTATTTCAGGAAATCACACAAGTGTCATGCAATGATGACAAATATAGACATAATAATATAAGCTATACCATAACCTACTCCATATACGAAGTATATTGCTACACAGAGTTCTTAAGAAGCAGAAGAGAAGCAGAAAGATAAAGAAAAGATAAAGAACCTTTATCCTGATAGCTTTATTCTCCTACATTAAGAGAAAAAATATCTAGGAAATAATAGAAATTTCTTTAGTAAATATTAATAATATATTTACTTAAATCTAAATTCTTTTATTTAAATAGAACAAATAATTGCTTTCATAAAAAGCTAAAGTTTTCTCGTGATTTTAAGAAAATGTATATTTCCTTATTTGAAAAAAATATTATATATATTAGTATAAATAAACATGTTGTTGATATACTCACCGCAAATAAATATTTACTATTTCTTAGATTTTTTCTCTCAGTATAACTCGGGAAAGAACACTCACGCTATCTTTTCCTACAAAGATATCAAGTTGAATATTACATTACGTCAGAATATTTTGCATAAATATGTACATAATACAAAATTGAATTTTGTATAAATAAAATTTCGCGCGTGCATGTTCGTGAGAATATCTTTTTCTAAAATTTTTCAATTTATTTTTGTATAAGAAACAATTATATCAGCAGTCATGTCATCATTACAGTTACATATTATTTATCTATTTATGTACATATTTATAAACATATGCAAGCAAAGATATTACTTACTTTTTTAAGCTGTATAATCTTTATTGTATGACACGTGTCGTCGAGTCATATATTATGTGTGTGTTCTACTTTACTTAGCATTAAAGTGACTTTATAATTCCCGGAGATACCGTTTCAGAGATCGTTAGAATTAAAATCGACACAGTGCCATACGAGATTGCAAAAAGAAGTAAAGATCGCTGGAGTGTTGGGGCAAGCGATTGACTGTTATTATGTATTATGTTTTAATAGCAAATTTATTATATATTATACGAAGATTGATATAATCTTTCAGCGAGTGACGTTTGAAATGGTATTAAACGTTGTATTAATTACTAGTTGACATTGACAATGAAGGGATCATTTCATAATTGATTAGTTCTAATCGTTCAAATATCATTTCACATTATACGCTACTATATAATACACACAGGCCTTAACGAAAGTTATACAATGTTTCGATTATAATCAACATTAGACGGATATCCGCCTCGCACGATGAATGTATATATCGAGCTAAAAAATTAATATACATATATATATATGTTTACATATATATATAATATATTGTCAAATCGACAGTATAAAGTTATCACAGATTTACGAAGTGTTTGGAGTACGTACGTGCGTCGCGGTATTCCTATCATTAAAATAAACTATTTACAGCAATAACAACTTTGTTCTTCTCAATTTTCATAATTTCAAAGCGCGCGGTACCTTGCTATATAACTTTTACATGGGCGCTAACGCGAGTATAAATATCGTCCGATTGTTGCTTTAGAAAATAGGCTCTTTGTTAATCGAAAGAAGCTAAATAGTAGAAACACATAGCAGGGAAATCACAATGTCACAAAAGGAGACGACTGGGAAACGATGAATGTCGCATTAATAAATAAAAGCTCGATGTGGCATATTTTTATATGGACATCGTATATATCGTAAAAACGCATACGCTTATATATGTTCGTTACTTATAACTATACAATTTCATATTATAAATTATTTCTCAAGTTCTTTACAACATCAAGACGCGCTCGATAAGGTATCCGAGATTGTCGAATAGAAATAACAATTGATAAATCAAACAGCGTCTTGTACTCATTGAATACTGCTCTGTGTGTAGTAAAGCAAAACACAATACATACAACTCATATGAAACTACAACCGATCAAGCCGTATCCGCCATGTATTCTCTCAATATCCTTGCAACAATAATTCGCCGTCCTAGTAACTTTATACACTTCTCGGACAACGTATATTTTTTTGTTTCACACAATAAACATGAGATATTCACAACGTATTAGTAATTACAAAACTCCGCTGCATATTCGAGTTGGATATCGTCTCTCTGTTAACGCTTTCGTTAACAATTGCAAATCGATTCACTAACGTCAACAATACAGCATAGAACTGGTTACGTAATGCCTACTATCAAGGAATTCTGTCTACAATTCGTGGACGTTACAAAACTATCGACCAAGTACTAAGGCTTCTCACTGCGGCTTCTTACGACATAATAAATACTTATTGATTAAAAATCCCCTAAAAACCTACGGTGCTATCAATAATACCCTTGTAACATTTTTTATAAGCGCTTCCAATGAGCTCGCGTCTGACAGTTGATCAAATTTCAAAGACTATTCGGATGGACAGTTACTTCGCTTATTGAGATATCTACAACAGGAAAAATATCTTCTCCAAAGAAGAGACAATCGATAAGATCTTTTTTTTATTATACCGGATAGTTCGAAAGTGAAACGACAATTGTTCGGACAATAGTCATCGATAGTGCCAAAAGTATCGTTGAAAAACATAAGTATGAGAGCACAATGAGTTGTAAAACGATTTAGACACAATGAAATTGGGAGCTCAACAAACTGAGAGTCATTACCAGCGAATATTTACGTAATAATAAAATAATAAAGAACACCAAATTATAATAAATAATACTAATAATTATTACTGGATAAAAAATCAGTCAGTAATGGTCTCAATTTTAAGTTGGCTGAGCTCCCAATGTCCTAACGGTAGTGTCTAAACCGTTTTGCAATCCACTGTACTCTCAGACTTTATCGCCCAATTAGTTCTAGAAATATAATGTCACACTCGTATGAACAATTGTGTTTTTAAAAGTTAACATAACAGTGCGTAATAAAATGCCAGGTGTCTAAAAAAATGTCGAAAACACATCGGCGAAGTAAAACGGGAAATGAGATGTTTAAGGAAACATAATTTAATACCACATAGTTAATATAAAATTTCATAAAAGTGCGATCGAGTAGGTAGAGCTCGGACATTTATTCTCTCTCTCTCTCTCTTTCTCTCTCTCTCTCTCTCTTTCTATTTCTTTTTGCATATATATGTAACTCTTCACACACTCCACTTCCGCATAAATTTGAGAACGCATTGAACACATTAATATATTATTATCGACTGATAAAATGAAAGACCGATTCGTTTCATAGTCATGCGTTATTCATATCTCGTACGTATGCATAAACACACGAACATTATGCCCATTTCTAATCAATTCTGTGTATTCGTTTATACATTATGTACATGGATACGTTAATTACTTTTGTCTAATATAATTGTTGTAAGCTAGTTCTCTGATTATCGTAACTATCGTCGAGAGTCATAGCATACGTTACACAAGTTTCCCATCACAAGTGTAATACGAATGTCAATTCTTACGGGAATTTTCGATACGATATAGTATATAATCATAAGATGTATCTCAACAATCACATATGATGCAACCGTTGTCTGTATTTGTGAAACAATGTATTGCACAATAAGCCTGCAGTCAGCAACCAAAGAGACTCGTCGCTCGTTCAATACAGAAAACGATTTGCCGGGATATCGATCGCGCCACGACAGCTACTGGACGGCGGATTCTCATCGTCGGAATTGTCGTACCGTTTTCGGACAGATCGCGAATGCCGTCCGGATAGAGACAACGTCGCCTGTTGCTTAAGCTCCTCTATGTAAGCCGTGGTATCGTCCGCTATCAATTCCTGCAAATGTTTACTCAGAGTCGATAATTCGGGCCTATCGTCCTCGTACATCCCGTCGAGAGCACCCGATTTCTCGTAGAACAGTATATACGGCGTGTCTGGTGGTTTCAGATTCTTGAATTCTTCGAAAGTAGTGCGCGACACGAAACTATCATTAAACTTGTACCAATTTTGCTTAGAACCGCAAGCATATGTGAAATAGTGTCCATAATCCATGTTATAACCGGAATGCACCACTGCGGCATACAAGTGATACGTTTCAGCGATCGAGTTTGGCACCGCGGATACCGGCAACTTTATAACGTCGTTGTACAACACTTTGTGTCGTAATTTCGTCCTGAGCCGACTGTCAAAGTCGTATCGAAAGTGCTTCAACGACAGAATCAGGTGTGCAGGCGCTTGTAAAATCGTGATGATCCTGTGCGCGTCGCATAGCTTCATACATTTGTCGCAGCGATACTTGTTCTCACCCGTGAGCTTCTCGGGCGCGAGATAGTAGTTGATGAGATCCTGAACCGAGACCTCTTGATTCTCTTGTATCTCCTCGGGAAAGCACAGCTGCAGGTCGCGAAATTTGTCCGTGTTGTGTGAACTGGTGTTGCACTGCGCGCACTGGTAAGTGATCTTAGATTCGCCGCCTAACACCCTATGTACAAGAGATGTAGATGAAACTGTTTCTTCACCACCTACAGATTGTATACCACTATCGGTGGAATCCGAGTGATAATCACTGAGCCGCTCCGCTTGTATCAGATCTTCACCTGTTACCAAAACATTACAAAAATATAGAATATACAAGGAATCTCCTAATAAAAATAGCCAAGGTTGTGCCATAGATTTCAAGATTACATCTATGCGGATTGTTTATGTATTTTTTATGTGATGCATATACAATCGTTTTTCGTGTAGACAATGTAAATTATGTAGAATATTGCAAACTATGTTAATATATACAAAAAAGAGCAATTAAATTGAGAGACAGTTATCTGTTTGAGTATTAATTATAAATATAATGCTTCAAAGAGATGACATATTGTATATAATTTTCATTACGTGACTTTATTACATGACAGATTGACAAATTAACTATATGCAGGTAAGAGTGTAATCATAGAATTTTGTAGACTTCAATTTGTTTAGGAAACAACGCAACAACAAGTTTACCTCAGAATTCTAAAGATTAAATAAAAATATAAATCTTTTTTTTTAATTAATTTTGTAGCAAGAGTCATACATTCATTCTTCGAACGACATCCATAGATTTCTCATTGTTTGCATACATCTTATACATAGTTAACGTTTTTGTCTACACGTAGATGTAGAGTGTCATAATTTACGCGTAAATACCCAACTCTGAAAATAGCTATATATGAAATAATAAAAAAATGAAACTAAAAAAAGAATACAATACTTTTTCTGTAAATAAAATGATTTTCTTATTAGTATGCTAGTAATCGCCATTGACCATCACCTTGTGGGAAATCCGCTAATGATTGTGTTTTCCGTCGAAACACCAAGCCTTCAGTTAAATCTTCCTCAGTTATCCACCGCTTAATAGTACCCTCTGTCGAATTCGTCGAAGGCGTCCCTTTCTCCTGCATCTCAGTTTTACATTTAGTACCACTTATGGAATCGTTTCTTCCACAGGTCGTATTAATGGCTTTTTCTTGCTCATGTAAAACATCCAGAAGATGACTGTGTAAAGAAACGACTTTATTCATTCAGTTGTTTTAAATTTTTATTTGTCACATTTACATTTTAGCATAAATCTCTTATTAAAATTACAGGTTTGTGTTTTTTCAAAGAACTTCTTGGATTGGTGTACATTGTAATAAATTAGCGTGAAGTAAAAACTTATCTCACTCTAACTTATTGTATCAGTGTACACTAGTTCAGAAAATTCTTTCAAAAAGAACAAACTTTGTGCCAGACAAACTATTTGAATTTTTTAATCCTTTAATTTACATTGATATACGAATATAACAAATTTCCTTTGACTATAAATTATCAAGAAAACCAACCTACTAGTAAATTTATTACAGTAAAAATATACCAACCAAAGAAACTCTGAACTATCCTGCTGTTGACCAGGTAGAAAATATGACGGTCGTGATGCTTCAAATATCTCATTTGGTGACAGATACATCCTCTTGGAATATAACAATAATGCAAACAAATCTTGCAGTTTCCTCAACAATGGCATTCCTCCTGTTTGGTTTACGAGACAATTTAATACTTCATAACAAAATTGTCGAGTCATCAGTAAGGCTTGCAACACGCTATTCATGTAGCATGTGTTCCCAAGATTTTGCAGCCCCACTTTCCCAGATAACTGTACCTCTGGTTCAAGAATAGGTTCTATCGTACACGTCTCAGCTACCCATAATGGTTCACGATAGAAATCCTTGATAACGTGCATACGTGGTGAAACTGGAAAAGATTTCTCTACGCTTTCAGGCAGACGATATGCTGGGAATCTTAAGCTAGCTAATTTCACGATGTCAACCAAGTATTGTATACACTCCCTGCTGGATTCTGAATCCTCCTTCATTAGACTATTTATCAGTGTAGGTACAGTTTTAATCAGTTTCTGTATAATCTCCTCTGAACTCAGCTTCTTTAGAATATGATATATAATGAAGGAAGAATTGTGACGGATCACCGGCACCACCAATACTTTGCCCATCAGATTCAATATATCTAATGAAGATTCCGTGACCTCTAAGAGAACTGAGAATTTCTCTTGTTTCTCCAGTCCATATATGAACTCCATTATCCAGAGGCTGAGTCTCTTATCGCGCCACTTTGGAAGCCAATTGCATAAAACTGTCAGTGCTTGCACTAATTCATGGTTTGACTGTGACTGCGACAGAATCCATTCCACTGCTTGTGGTATGAAGCTGGTTTCTACTAGACGCAATATCGCAGCTAATCCTGGGCCTGGTTCCTGTTTCCTCTTCCTATCTGATATTATACGATACAAAGTTTGGAGGCAGATAAACAGGAGGTCATGACCACTGTTCTTGGCATTCTTACACACTGTCTCCAAGAAATTTTGGATTTTAGTAGCATTCTCATAAAACTCCAAGATCTTCTTAGGCTCCGGAGGTAGCTGGAACGACGACAGCCTCACAATTACAGCTTCACAGAGTGCCGTATGATCGGCTGACTTGGGCAGGTACACTCTGTTATCCAACATTGTCTTGAGAAGCGCGGCCAAATGTGACATGTCCCTGATGTCTGTCTTCTGTAGCAACGCGGCGACGTCCTTTGAGATTGGGTCGGCATTATCGGAGTCCGACTTCTCCTCCACGTGCGGCAAGATCCACGCCATGATTTTCGGCACTTCCGAGATGTTCAGTATCTGACTATGCAGAATATCTCTCAGAATATCTTCGAAATTAAGCACCTGATTAAATGCTTGATCATCGCGCAATTCTCTCAGCATCAACCAACCATCCGCGATCTCTGCGTCACTTCCTACTACTATGAAATCGAAGCACCGTTTAATAGAGATTCGCAAATAATGTTCTGCATCATTCGGATGGCGCATTGTCAGATCTACGCTCGTACCCTTCGCCGTAGCTTAGTCTACCTTATAATCAACGATACGTACTACTCCCATTAACGATCCCCAGACTGTCGACGATCCTCACGAAGGAAAATCAAAATGACCTCATGGTGGGGTAGAAGCATAAAAAACGAGAAAGCGTTACGCCATAAATTACATGGTGCTCAAGAAGAATAATCGAAGACAGACCGCGAATCGGTCCTTACATCTTCAAATAGTAGTGCGAGTCAACAGTGGGTATGCACGCAACATCATACGGAGAATTTTATCCTCCACTTCCAATTAGGGTACTTCGTCTCGGAGACATGGGATTTACATATTTTTGCATTGATTATTGCTTTTGAGAGTAATCAGCAAGGCAGCCACATTAAATGCAACGGTAATATACAGTCAGCGCCAAAATGGTTTACAGTTTTTCTAGATGCATTTAGGAACGAAGCACGGTAATCTAGTTATGCGAACTACTGCTCACGAGTTTGCACAGTGATTAATTATAGCTGCGTTCGGCATTGTAAATCAAAGACGTCGGATTGCTCTTTTACCTCGAAAATGCATAGAAGTGAGAGATACGAGATCTTGTATATTTTTCATTTCTATGCATCTTCAAAATGGAAAAGCAATCCGACATCTTCGATTTACAATAATTCGATTTATCGAGCACAGCTTATGGCAGTAGCCGAAAGACCGCTCAGCCTGTAATGGAAGATTCACTGCGCCCGTCTTCCGATATGACGATATCGATTCCGATATGACGATACAATATCCAATAACGGAATTTCTTCGCTAGCGACATTTTTGTCTCCAAAAAACCAATTCTCCTATTGGATATCGAACGTAGAGTAAAGCCTTCATAAGTTCATGATAGTGGCTGCGTTCAAAAAACATAGCTGATCAGTGAGCGGTCAGTGATTATTGGTCCTTACTATTAGATCCCTAACTTTAGACCAATTACGTTGACTAATTACTCAACCGTTGTGTAACCGTTGTCTCCTAAACGCACCCATTGATTCGCATACCTAAGCTGCGTTCAGGGAGACGCTATTTGGCGCTAAAAGCGTGTTCTGTCCTCATTCAACTTTCAGTAAGTAACAAGGACAGAACATGCTTTTAGCGCCAAATAGTATCTCCCCGAACGCAGCTTTAGGTAGCTTTAGGCTACCATATTTCGTTTCTAAAAACATATCCAAAATAAACTGTCTAATAGCTCTCGTAGCCAGCGCGACACGCAACACGTGATATCTAATGTGCATCTCCTTTTTAGATATAGTAAAGACTTTTAGATATAGTAAAGACTGGTTTATAATGGCCGTAATTCGTTAACTAGCTGGAACCGTAAAAAATTGACCAATCATAGTCGAATTATAGAAAAATAATCGACTGCGATTAGTCAATTTTTTACGATTCCGGCATAAGTTAACGAATTACGGTCATCATAAACCGGCCTTAAGAATAGACTGAGCGTGTCCTCTATTTGGGCTGCGTTCCGAAATGCACTGCTAGTACTGAAAATCTGTAGTTTATGTCACGTATATTATAGAATTTCACTACTGGCAGTAAATTTCGGAATGCAGCCTTGGTAGTGAAGATTAAGTAGAAAAGGACAGAAAAGGAACACATATATGCACTATTAAGCCAGCGGCATACGATGCGTCTTACCGTGCGGCAAGCGTTCGTGTACAGTCGCGGACTTAAAGGTTGGTGGATCGTTTTTAGCAAATTTAGGAACGCATTCCGACTTGAGAAGAAGGAGAGTCGCTGCTCCGTCTGCGGGGCACGCCTGCACAGTGACTAACCACGATAGGAGAGAAATGACATATACGTAGTGTCATAAAAGTAAACACAACGTTCGCGTGGGAAGTGTTCCGCAGGATTCGCTATGACCGAGCACCGTGGATTACACGCAAATATAAAGATAAGTAATAGATTTTATTACAAAAAATATATAATTTATGTTTGTAATATAATATTAATTGTTATGTAGGAAATTTAATATCCGTCATATTTGTGTTTTGCAGAAAGAAATAAATATCACAAGCAGAATGTGGGAATAATGAAATCTATTACTTATCTTTATATTTGCGTGTAATCCACGGTGCTCGGTCACGGCGAGTCCTGCGGAACACTTCCCACGCGAACGTTGTGTTTACTTTTATGACACTACGTATATATCATTTCTCTTCTATCGTGGTTAGTCATTGCGCAGGCGTGCCCCAGAGACGGAGCAGCGACTCTCCTTCTCAAGTCGGAATGCGTTCCTAAATTTGCTAAAAACAATCCACCAACCTTTAAGACCCAGGACTGCTATTTCGTTACCGATTTTCGTGGTTCCGATAGTTGTCGGATCAGTAGGTGTCGTTACGCAGTTTTTCCACGGTATAAAAAAGTTGCACAACGACGCCTACCGATTCGACAACTGTCGGTATGCGGGAACGGAATAGTACCCCAGTTCCACAACCTCCGTTTAACTTTAGTTACCGGTTAAGTCTCAACAGTGATTGGTTAATTCTGATTAACTCTTCTTAACGCTAAATGCGATTGGTCAAGTTCAATGGAATAACCGGTCAGTTAAGTTAACTAAAGATTGTGGAACTGGGCCTAATTGCTCCTGCACATAGGACGCGGTAATATTTGCCGCGCGGCGGAAGTCCGCGCGACAGCCAATCAATATGTTGTTCTTCCGTAAGAGGCGCCGCACACGAATTAAGATAACAGTAACTTAAGACGTACCGTAAAAATGGACCAATTACAATCGAGTATTCACAAAAATGGCGACCTTACGGTTCGACGATACTCAAAGTGATTGGTCAATTCTTACGGTACGTCTTACGTTACTGTTATGTCAATTCGCGTGCGGTGCCCCTAAAAACTAGAAGGTTATTACGGAAAGCAGCATATTGATTGGCTGTCGCGCGAACTTCCGCCGCGCGGCAAGCATTACCGCGTCCTGTGTGCAGGAGCCATAAGGGCCGTAGCATACAGAAAAACTTAAGCAGTAAGACGTAAGCAGTAAGCAAATTGACCAATCACAGTTGTTAATTCTTCTTACGGTCCAAGAATCAACGACTGTGATTGGCTAATTCGCTTACTGCTTACGTCTTACTGCTTAAGTTTTTCTATGTGCCACCAGCTTAAAGCGTCTTCTACAATGGCAGTAGGAGTATTAGTAATAGCGAATTCGGTAGCTTGCACTAGTGCGCACTGAGTGCGCATTAAGGCTTGTTTACAGTACATTCTTATATTTAAGATCGTGTCTTAAATACATATTTAAAAACATTTTAACTAATAAAATGATTCGTACGGATGTTATACATATCATATTATGGTTAAAAATATTTGAGAATTTATTTGAGAATTATTTAAGACAATCTTTAAATATAATAACATACTATGAACAAGCCTTAGTGCGCACTCAGTGCACACTAGTGCAAGCAACCGAATTCGCTATAAGAAATAAGCAGTAAGTAAATAGACCAATCACAATCGATTATTTTTGAAACGTGAGAATGGAATTGGTCAATTTGCTTACTGCTTATTTCTTACTACTACTCCTACTGCCATTGTAGAAGACGCTTAAGGGCCGTAGCTTACAGAAAAACTTAAGCAATAAGATGTAAGCAGTAAGCAAATTGACCAATCACAGTCGTTGATTCTTGGACCGTAAGAAGAATCAATGACTGTGATTGGTCAATTTGTTTACTGCTACGTTTTACTGCTTAAGTTTTTCAATATGCTACCAGCTTAAAGGGACGTTTAC